GGACAGGGAAGTAGGCTCAGATATTTTTGTCATCCTGATGAGCCCTTAGAAACAGTGATCATGAGAGTGATCATGGGAGTGATCACTGGACTTTGTATATTGCCTTGTTTGTTCCTTGACTGTATCTATTGTATTGTTGGTTCCTCAACCTAGAACTGACCTAAATACTTGAATATAATTAAAAGGATTTAAAGCCGGGCAGTGGTGGTGCACGCCTTTAATCCCAGCACTTGGGAGGCAGAGGCAGGTAGATTTCTGAGTTCGAGGCCAGCCTGGTCTACAGAGTGAGTTCCAGGACAGCCAGGACTATACAGAGAAACCCTGTCTTGAAAAACCAAAAACAACAACAACAACAACAACAACAAAAACCTGCCTCAGCCTTCAGCCTCAGAACTGGCTGGGGTCATGCTGCAATTTTGTTTAATCATCTCTTTTCTTTTAATCCTCATTCCTGTGCTGGAGAACCTGCTGACTGACTGAGCGGGCTTGGTAGAGACCTGTGCCCAGAGAGGATATAAAGCAATGATGGAGGCCTTCAGCCCACCAAAGATTCTTCCTACTCTGGCCTACTTCCTGCCCGCCTCTCTGACATTTTTGGAGTTTTTCCTGGTCAGTGAAGTTCTTTCCATAGTCTTCCCACATGAAAAAGAGGGGGGCAGAAATGAAGGCTGGGTCGGGGACGTGGATCCCTAATACACTCAGCCTCTTTAACACCGTTAGCACCTCCATTGTAAGGAGGACAATACTGAAGCCCAGAAGGGGGAACTCAGGGTCAACCTGTCTCCACTCCGGAAGCCATCAACAAGGTTATCTCAGAGCTATGTCAAGTTATCTCAGAGTTTAACGGCTGAGGAGGTCAGGGCTCCTTTCAGCCCCACTTCCCTAGAGTTCTAACCTGGGAGGTCAAGAGTGGCAGAGAGCCTGCTTCCACTTCCCAGGCCTCAACAGAGCTATGAAAGTTAGGACTTTCAGCCGAGTACCAGGCCCTGACTGAGGTTTCTGGGGATGAGGGGAACCCTGGATGTCTAAGCAGGGCCAGAGAGGGAGGGGCTCAGGCCAGCAGCCACTGTGAGAGCTGCCCCGCCCGTCGGCGTGGGGATGTGGGAAGCGCCACTTCCTGGCTCATGTCCTGCGCCCGGCAGTCCCGCCACGTCACCGTGGCCAACGGTGCGCGCGGCGGGAGCGTGCAAGCCGGGAGGCGCGGCACCGGCCTGGGGCACCGCAAGGCTCGGGGAACGGGACGTGGCAGCACTCCGAGCACCAGAAAGTTCTCAGAGAAGTTCCGCCCGACAAAGCGCGGGAGCGGCGGGCGGAACCATGAACGTGTTCCGAATCCTCGGGGACCTGAGCCACCTCCTGGCCATGATCTTGCTTCTAGTGAAGATCTGGAGGTCCAAGAGCTGCGCGGGTGAGCAGCGCCCGGGGTGGGGCGGGACAGGACCAGGGTGAGGACTCAGGCTCAGAGGGAACCCGGGCGCGCTTGCTTCCAAAAACTTCAGTGAAGTTTTTTTCCCCGACTTCAGAGGATCCAGGAGATTATGCAGGAGAGTGGCTTCTGTCTCCACAGAGAGCCCTACTTCACCCCCCTCGCCCCATCCTTAACTGGGCAGCTGGCAGTATCATGGCTGCTGGTCGAGGAGTGGAGGGCGACCTTCCCCTGGTGGGAGACCCTCCCCTTCTTGAGGAGGGAAGAGCATTTGAACTCGCCTTAATCTTGGAGTCTTCATTCTCTCCTGCCTTTTACTCCCTCAGGGAGAGCCTTTTCCTGCTTGCTAGTGACACTAGCCTGGTCCAGGGATGTGGAGCTGGCTCTGAGTGGGAGGCATTGGAGGGACTCGCTGTTTGGCTAGAGGTCTAGCTGCTATGCTGGGGTCAGAAACAGTTTGGAGGCTGGATTGATGATTGCAGTCCCCCATGCAATGAGAAGTTGCCTACTGTCTTTCAGCCATCTCTGTTCCTAGCGTTTCCTGCCTGTGCTAGACATGTAGACGGATGTAAGCTCGGACTCCATTAGACCTGGGCAGGCAGAGAGCTGCTGAAGGGCAACGTGGAGGGAGGGGATGGTCAGGGTGTGTACTCAAGGAACAGGGTATGGTGTTCAGAGCACCGTGCAAATACGTAGAAGCCATGGGGCATGTCCTGGGGAGGACATAGGAGGAAGAAGAGTCCAGAAGGTAGGATGGACCAGTGGTGAAACGCTTCTTCCCGGTCACATTCAGGATCCAGAATGAAGGGAACCACGCAAGAAGTAGGAGCGGAGGCGGGATCTTAGCAGGTCTCTTGAGACTCTGGAAATGGAGGTTGAGAGTATTTGAGATGTCACCTGGGAGGCTGACCAGGAGAGGGACTTGGTTGAGTATGGATCACCACATTTTAGATCCAGTGGCTCTGGACTGAACTAGAATCTTTCGGGGTCTGTAGTTGCCAGAGAGATTGCCTCTCACAGCCCTTCAGGATCTGGCTCAGGGGACCTGGGAGCTGTAGACTCTCCTGGACCTGTGCCTGTCCTTTAGAGGTCCAGGGTAGGATTGGGGGAGTGCTGTTACCCCCTCCCTCAGTCCTTTGAGGGACCCTGTGCCCTGACACCTCAATGCTCTTCCTCAGGGAGCTGACCTGCAAAAAGGGACAGGAGGAGCAAATGAGTATGCGTTGCTGTAGGCGAAAGGAAATGGCGGTTGATGCCAGCCCCGAATGCCAGAGCCACTGGCCACTGTCCTGCTGAGTTCTGTAGACTGGGGCTTGTGTTTTCCTGTCAGTCAGAGGGACTCATGGTGTCCTCGCTTCTCCTGGGCTCCAGGTCGGGATGGTGTTCATAGAAATCTGGTGTTTTTATGAGTTTGTTTGGAGCCTCTGTGGGTGGAGCCATGAGCCCACAAGGTTAAGAGGGCTGGAGAATATAGCGGCCAGGTATCCCCTGTGGAGCTGTTTGCTAGACTGTCCTAGCAGAGGGGCCTCTTCGGCAAGGCTTCTATGAGGGCTTGGTGAAAGGAGTGGCATAGCCAGCCCCACTTGGAGCTGGCTCTGTTTGGGACACCTCCCCATCTGTGTCACCCCCTGCACTCATCTTCAAATCATACTCCCTGTCACATGGCTCCTGTCACATGTGTGTGGGCTGGACTACTGGTGAGGAATGTGAGGCCCATGCTTGCCTGCATCCAGCATGTGGGCCCGGTGTTCTTCAGACTGGGAGAGACCTTAGGAGACTCCTCCTTCGTCATTAAAAATGTCACTCTGTCTGGGTAGTCATAGCATGCTCCTTTAATCCCAGCACTCAGGAGGCAGAGGGAGGTGGATCTCTGTGAGTTCAAGGCCAGCCTGGTCTACAGAGAGAGTTCCAGGACATCCAGGGCTACATAGAGAAACCCTGTCTCACAAAACAAAACAAAACAAAACAAAACAAAACATCACCCTGACCCAAGACTGTCCTGCCAGACCCGAAGAGTGAGACAGGGAGTGTGGGCACAGGAAGGGAGAGTTACTATGTGGGTCACAGTACACAGACACTGTGTTCACTTGGAATATAACCTAGACAAATTGCTAGGCTGGAGGGGGCATGGCAAGAGCCAGAAGAGAGGACCACTCAGGCAGCAGCTGGGATGAGGCTTTGAGTCTTTTAAGGACATTTGGAAGCCACATAAAAGCTTTAAGCAGAATTTTATTTTCAAATAGCCCTTGGATTTCTGGATGGAGAATGGAAATGGGGGGGAGGTCTGCTGGCCAGCAATAAAAGATTGTGGGAGTCTGGGAGGCACTGAAGCTGGAGAGTTGGGCCGTCTGAGAGCAGCAGAGTAGAGTGAGGCTAACGGACACTGAAGGGACCTGGGGCCTGGTGGGATGTGAGGGAAGGAGAGAGGCCATGAGTTTGCAGGGGGATGAAAGGCTGTTTACCAACGAGGGGTGGAGGCGGCTATGGGGAAATAGATTTGTCTTGGTTGCCTTTTGGGCCCTTGTGGGATTGTCTTGAAAAGTAGAGTAGACAGATGAATGAACATACAGGCCAAAACTAAGAGGAGGCCTTAGATCTGGAGTGTCCCTGGTGTGTGTGTGTGTGTGTGTGTGTGTGTGTGTGTGTGTGTGTGTGTTAGCTGAGATGGCAGAGACACAGAACAACAGGCAGCTGGATGATTTGGGGACAAAGACAGGTAGAGCCATGGAAGAGAGGCACAGCTGCATGATGTCACTGAGTCCAGGAGAGGGGTGCTAGGGATAGCCACGTTACATTAGCTGCTCTGGAGACCAGTAGTGAGGTCAGTTGACCTTGACTTCAGAGACATAAGTACTGGGACTGGGAGCAGTTAGATGAGGTGGCAGAGGCTGGCGTGAGTGTGGCAAGAAAGGAAGAGAAAGGAAGTTCCTGGTTTTTGGAGCCACCTCCATGACCTGAAGCAGTGCCAGGCGAGTGTAGGGGATGACCTGTTGTTTCAGGCCCCAGGCTGGGTGTGCAGCAGGAACACTGGGGAGATGGGAGTCAAGTCAAGAGTCTGGAGCTTCGTGATGCTAAGAAAGTGCCCTTGCCCAGTCCCCGCCCCCGCCCTTTTTTTTTTTTTTTTGAGACTGGGCTCTTTTGCCTAGGCTGGTTTGCCTCTGCATCCTGAGTGATGGGATTATGTACTGCACCAATGCACACAGCCCCAGCCCTGTCCTTGTCTTCTTTTGAGAACCTTTATGGCCATCAGGTATGACATCAACCTAAGCAGAAGCTGGAGGAGTGCACAAGGGAGCCCTCTGGACTCTGAAGCTCTTTCATAAAAAGAAAAAAAAAAGTCCTTGGTTGTACTGGCACAATCCCGTGATCCCAGCATGCAGAAAGAGATAGCAGAAAAAAATAGGAATTCAAGGCCAGCTTTGTCTACACAAAGAGTTCGAGGCCGGCTTGAGCTACATGAGATGCTGTCTCAAAACACTAAAGGTTGGGCTGCTGAGATGGTTTAGGCTTAAGGTGCTTGCTGTCAAGTTTGAGCATCTGAGTTCGGTCCACATGATACAAGGAGGGAACCATCCCGACCTTCATACATGGTATGCATGCACACATACACTACAAACACCTACTAAGTAAATAAATAAACTTTATAAATAATTGTTCAAAAAAACCATTCAAAATAACAAGACTCTAACTCAGATACGTGAATAAATAAAGAGTAGGCCAAGAAACACCATAGACCCTGGCTGGAGAGACGGCTCAGTGGTTAAGAGCACTGGTCGATCTTGCAGGTTCAACTCCCAGCACCCATATCATGTCTAACAGCTGTCAGTGGCTACCATTCCATATACCGGTACTTACAGGGGAGCATGTTACATATATATCCATGTGGGCACTACACACACACACCAGTTTTATTTGCATTTTGAGATACGTTACTACTATGTAGTCATGGCTGGCCTATACCTTACAGAGATCAGCCTGACTGGGTGCTGGGATTAAAGGTTTGCACCACCACACCTGCCTAAAAGAAATAGTATTTTATTATATGTATGTATTCCTTTTATGTGTATGTGTTCTCACCTCGGGGGTCTGTGAACCACATGTGTACATTGACAGGATCAGAAGAGAGCATCAGATACCCCAAAATTGGAATTAGAGGCAGTTGTGAGCCACTGTGTGGGTGCTGGGAACCAAACCCAGTCTGTTGCAAGAGCAGTAAATGCTCTAAATTACTGAGTCATTTCTTCAGCTCAAGGTAAATAGATCCTTTTTAAAAAAGACAGTAGGACAGACAGACAGACAGACAGACCTTGGAGTTGGGCACAGTGGTGACACTTACTTGTAATCTCAGCACTGAGGAGGCAGAGGCGGGGAGGGTTGTTAAAAGCTTGAGGCCAGCCCCTATAGATCAATTGATTGACTGATTAACTAATGAATTAATTTTGAGACATGGTTTCACTGGGTCGACCTGGCTAACCTTGAACTCACTGCCTGCCTCCTGAGATATAGGCCTCTAGGCCCAGCCCAAAGCCAGCATTATTCTTTTTGTTTGCTTGTTTGTTTTGTTTTTCAGGAAGGTTTCCCTGTATAGCCTTGGCTGTCCAGGAACTCACTCTGTAGACCATGCTGGCCTTGAACTCATAGAGATCTGCCTGCCTCTGCTTCCGGAGTACTGAGATTAAAGGAGTGTGCTGCCACACCTGGAAAAACTAGCCCATTGTTTTTGTTTTGTTTGTTTTATTTTGTTTGTTTTGTTTTGGTTTCTTTGAGACATGGTTTCTCTGTATAACCCTGGCTGTCCGGGAACTCACTCTGTAGACCAGGCTGGCCTCGAACTCAGAAATCCACTGCCTCTGCCTCCCAAGTGCTGGGATTAAAGGCGTGTGCCACCAACCCCCCCCGGGCTAGTCCATTCTTTATAGCAAGTTCCAGACCAGTCAGAACTTCAGAAAGACCCCGTCTCAAAAGAAACAGTGTGGAGACCAAGACAAGCATGTGTGACAAGTCCAGGCACCTGTGTCATGCACACATGCTCCGGCACAAACATGAGCTTTGCGAGAGGTCTGTGTTCTCAGGCTTCTTTGGTTTTTGCATGTAGCATTTGGTGTCTTATTTACTTATGGCAATGTTGGGACATGCTTGGGAAATGCTCTGTCACTGAGTTGACACTCCTAACTTTTGTATTACAATGAATAAAAATAGGCATAACCTTTTTAAGTAGGAAAATGATTTTTAAAATATGTGTATTTTGAAAACAGCACTGCTGGCCAGTCCCTTCCTCTGCCTGCTCGTCTCCCTGGTTAATCAGCAGCTGGAGTCAGTGCCTTGTTCTCCCAGAGTGGAGTTCCAGGGTTGCCACTGGAGCTCTGGGGGTGGCACACAGAACAGCCTCAACACCCCCTCCCAGGAGACTCTCACTACCTCTGCGTCCTCCACAGAGACGCACCAAGGTGGTGCACACAGGGTGACTGGGAATGTAGTGTTCGAATCTTTATTTGGAGACAGATCATAGCTCAACAAAGAGGCACAGGGACTCCAGTGACTTAGGGCTGGGGAGGGCAGAGATAGCTGCTCCTGGCTGGCTACACTGAAGGTTATGTTCTCATGGCTTCTTGTTTGTTCTGCACAGGCATCTCTGGGAAGAGCCAGATTCTTTTCGCTTTGGTCTTCACCACCAGGTACCTGGACCTCTTCTCCAATTTCATCTCCATCTATAACACAGTGATGAAGGTAAGCGTGTGGGGACTCCTGGCATGCTGGCAAGTTCAGGCCAGGGCTGCAGCTGGCTCACCTGCCTTGCTGCCCAAGGCATATCAGGCATGGGCTTCTGTGCTGTTTCCTCAGGACCACCATAGTACTTGTACCTCACTCAGTAAGTTGGCTGTGAGACTCATCAAGGTCACAGGCTTAAGTGTGAGGCAGGTAGCATGATACACTGTCATCTCAGCACCGGAGAAGCAGAGAGGCAAGAGGATTGCTCCGAGTTCAAGGCCAACCTGGTTTACATACTTAGTTCCAGGGCTACACAGTGACAGTGTCTCAAAAGCCTCCCACTAAACACACACACACACACACACACGCACACACGCACACACGCACACACGCACACACGCACACACGCATGCACGCATGCACGCACGCACACAGAGACATAAACACTGGCACCCTACTATGGACTGAATAATTAGCCATCACATAGAATGGTTAAACAATAAACAAATCAGACGTTTGTTTCCTGGACCCTGGGCATTTAATGAATTTCATTGGCCACCCGTGCAATGTGTGACCTGCCTCTGTGTGCCGGGCACTTGGAGACTTTCAAGACTCATAGATCCTATACCTTCAAGGCAGACTGTCATAAGCAAATGAGAATATTAGTCATGGAATGGCTATCCAAGTATTAAAATCTTATTTTAATCCCAGCACTGGGAGTCTGAGGCAGGTGGATTTCTGAGTTTGAGGCTGACCTGGTCTACAGATTGAGTTCCAGGACAGCCAAGGCTACACAGAGAAACTTGGTCTCAAACAACCTCCCCTCATGGTCTGCCCCCCTCCCCCCAATATTTCAAGAAATGATATGGCACACCAAAAGTCTCAGAGACATCCTTTGGGATTCCAGGTAGCTCATCAGTGAAAGAGGTAGGAGGACATTTTCTCTTATGAAGCAGTTGCATTGAGTGTGAATCTGAGGCTGGGGCTTAAAATCACCATTAGAACTATTGGCTGATCACCTACCTGCTTAGTTCATTTCTCTGCAGATCCAGCCTTGCTGCAGCAGGGTAAGGTGTCGTCTATAATAGGATAGAAATGCCATCATCACTCCTTGCGTTCCTCCTATCACTAATCTGTGCTGAATAAAGATTCAGAGGAGGGTCCTGCCCGTGAATCCTCTTATAACAGAGACAGACTGATGTGTCTTCACAGGGCATGTGACATCATGACACACGGTGTGGTGACAGCATTCATCTCTCATCCTAGTGAAGTGGGAGTGAGCTCTCTGTGCCAGTGTAGTTTAGTGCCACCCATCTGGATTAGCACAAGCCTGGGAAGATGTTAGAAAAGCAAATTCCAAGGCTGCCCCGACCTACCACACACAAAAAAACACAAACAAACAAACAAACAAACAACCCTTGGAATGGCATCAGAGAAGCTACTCATGTGACTCTAATGCAAACTGACAACTCGAAATTCTAGGGGCCCCAGAAACATCACACACACACACCATACACACACCCCACACACCCCACACACCCCACACACACACCATACACACACCACACACACACACACACCATACACACACACCACAAACACCACAAACACACACACACACACCACACACACACCACACACACCCCACACACACACCCCCACACACACCATACACACACACACACCACACACACACACACCCCTCCCCCCCCACACACACACAGAGGCAGGGCGACTTGTTGGGAACAATAGCATGTTAAGCCCTCAGGATTACAGATATGGCTTAGCCTGAGTGTTAAATGATATCACAAATGTCCGTGTTTCTCTAGGTAGTTTTCCTCCTCTGTGCCTACGTCACAGTGTACATGATCTATTGGAAGTTCCGGAAAACGTTTGACATTGAAAATGACACATTCCGTCTGGAGTTCCTCCTGGTCCCAGTGATCGGCCTTTCCTTTCTGGAGAACTACAGTTATGCACCTATGGAGGTGGGTCTGATCCCAAGACAGGGATGCCTTTCAGCACCCTCGTCAGCCGTCTGGCCGTGCCTACCACGAGCCCTTTGCTCACTGTTCACAGCATTCAACCCCACCCACTGTTCAGGGCACAGCTATTTACAGTCCTGAGGTTCCAAGCTAAGCAGGTGGTAACCCTCCTTCAGTTGACACCTTGTGTCCACAAGAGCACTCCAGGCTAACTCAGCGGGCTTGCTTGAGCTTTGAAAGACAATCATCTCTGGAGGTCCTATGCTGATATTTATGGGCTGTTCCTTGACACCTTGTCTTAATGTCATTTACAAACTATGCAGTCTGTCAAAACTGTTTTATGGATGCATGCTCCATATTGTATTTGCACTGCTGTAAAACAAGCAGGCGTTACATGCTTGAGTTTGTATTTCCTTAAGTGATGGAAAGGCTTAACTACTCAAGTTCAGGGCTGGGGACACTATGGGTAGAGTGCCATCTGGTCTTGTTTTCTATTCCCAACAGCAAAAAGCCATAAAGTTCTTAGACCCATTGTGGCAAAACATTCTGCTGCCCCATTCCTTCCTTGGGAGATAAGTCAAGTTTGCAACACTGATACCTTGTAAAATGATTCTGTGTCAAACTGTTCTCTTCTGCAAATGTTCACTACTCAAGTCTTGTCTAAAACAATGGATGCTTCTATTGTTGTTCTGACAGGTCCTCTGGACCTTCTCCATCTATCTGGAGTCAGTGGCTATCCTGCCACAGCTCTTCATGATCAGTAAGACTGGAGAGGCCGAGACCATCACCACACACTACCTGTTCTTCCTGGGGCTCTATCGGTTACTCTACCTGGTCAACTGGATCAGGCGGTACCAGACAGAGAACTACTATGACCAGATCTCAGTGGTGTCTGGAGTTGTACAAACCATCTTTTACTGTGACTTCTTCTACTTGTATGTGACCAAAGGTAGGCACTGGCTCTGTGCCACCATGCATTCTCACATATGGTACTTGTAATAATTTGAATAGGTTTGGCCCCATAGACCAAATGCTTGGTGTTTGAATGCTTGGCCCACAGAGAGTGACACTATTAGGAGGTATGTCCTTTTTAGAATAGGTTATGCCCTTGTTGGAGGAAACGTGGCACTGTGTAGCCAGGCTTTGAAGGTTGGGACAGGGTTCTTGTGAAGACAATATACACTTTGAATCAGTGTCTGATATATGGTAGTTTCTCCTATAACTAGTATTCATGGGTCCAGGAATCAAGGGGTGGAAAAGGGAATAGTTCCACTCACTAGGAAAATGTTTGCTTCCTGTTCTGTTGGCCTAGTAGTTTTGGTTCCAGAGAGGTATGCTCCTGCTAGGAGGAAGCTCTGCTCCATGTGCTTGGTGGGAGTTTTGAACACTAGGAGTCCCTCAAAGTCCTCCTACACAGTGACACATTTTCTCTAAGGCCACACCTCCTAACAGTATCACTCAGAAGGCCAGCATTCAAACGTGGGTCTACAGGGCCAAACCTACTCAGTACTCCAACTGGTTTGAGACAGAGCCAAGGTTCATCCCTTCTGGAGTTTATTTGGATATGGGGAAGCACAGACCAATAGCAATCACGAATGTGCAGACAGGAAAACCGAAGACTTTTGACAAACATAGTTGGGTGGACCTCACTCCCCAAAGCTTCAAAGCAGCTGTTAGCAGTCATAAACCTTGAAACTCAAGGAAATTAAGTTCACACAGGACCTCAGGGGGGCTAGGGTAAGGGGGTTTGTTACTGTATCACCAAGGACATCTGTAAGAACTCAACTTCAACCAGCCCAGCAGCAACCATGCAGACTCACCAGGGTAGCTTAAAAACAGGGTTGGGATGGACAGACACAGGCTTTGGGAACAGAGGACATACTAGTCTAAAACTATATAAGAACATCACTAACCAAACTGGGGGAGACAGGGCATAATGCCCATGGGTAACCTGAGATGGAACTAACCCCTGCAAGCTGACAACTTTGAAGGGACAGCAGGATGTAGACTGTGCCAGAGCAAGAGAAGCAAAGGCAGGTAGGTCTCTAGTTCAAGACCAGCTAAAGCAGGGGGTGGGACAAGAATTCTTTAAAGTACAGCACATCCTAAAATTTTATCTTTCCTAGTCCTTAAAGGAAAGAAATTAAGCCTACCAATGCCAGTTTGAAGAGATGGGCCACCGCTAAGGCATCTAGAGCAAATCTCCATCATTCCTCCATGACTTCGAGCCAAGACTTGGAACTTAAGTGTTAAAATGACTGGTGTGAATTTGAGCAAAGCACTATCTCGGTGTCAATGGCAGCACCCCTCATACACCGTCGTGGATATAATGGAATACCTGGTCCATCTGCTCGAGTATGGTACCCTACAATGAACGGCAAGTGAAAAGAAGCAGTAAGATGCCTCTCCCACAAATGACTCAACTCTTGCTTCTTTAGGATTATAGAAGATCCAAAGACCCTGCCTAGGTCAGAGCGCTGAACTCTAGAGCTGTGGGCTCATCTGCCATCTAAAAGCTGTAAGCAGTACAAGCAACCAGCTCTGCCAAATGCTTAGGACTTCTAATCTCACTTGCCAGCTGAGGTGGACACCATGGCCACTGTGTAACTAGATTCTGTGCCAAGAGCCACTATCAAGCTCACCGTCCCCTCCCAATCTGGGTGCTAAATAGGATGACAAGTACACTCAATCTCCAAACGTCTGGTGCTTGAAGGGAATCATTAGGACTACATGTAAACTCTAAGTTTTAATGTAATAAAAAGTTCACACCTTTATTGTCAAGTGTTTATTTATACCTACAAAAGAAAACAAGATGGTATCAAAAGGACAATTTACAAACTAAAAATAGTAGTAACATAGCTCTGAGCATCCTGTGCCTCGACATCACACCTACAATTCAAGTCTCAGTGACAGGAATGTGTTGAGAGACCAGCAAGGGCATTAGCAGAACACTGATCCCAAGCAAAAGCCACCAACCTTTTTAGATGAGAAGTCTGCACAACAGATTGTTAGGGAGAAGCAGCCCACAACCTAATACCTCAGCCCTTTCCCTAAGTGAGTAAACCATAAAAGGCAAGTAACCCAGCTCAAGGGGTGTGCCTGCACCTGTGCTGACAAAGGACAGACAGAAGTCATTTGCACTAAGAAAACTGCTAGTTTTCTGCTGTACCTAGGACAAAAGAGCTTATGAAATATGAAATCTGCTATTTATCTGGATTATGCCTCTGCTGGAGGGGGGGGGGAGGTAAGCAACCTGGCCATTCCTGGAGGCGGTAATAGAAGGGGTGTTTTGAAGAGCTACAGTAGCACAGGACAGCCCATGGTATGATGCTTAATAAAAAATAGATCTGAATTTGGTTGTAGAAAGTATCTGTAACAGGCTGGCCAGTGTCAGTGATTAGACACTTCCTTTTGGCAGGGTGAGAGACAGACAGGACACACTTTGGTTTCAGAGCACAGAGAAGAGTTGCTACACATCTGTGCCCTCCATCCCCCTCGGCTTCATAGTCTGTAAAACGGTAAGGAAAACAAAAGAATGCCAAGCGTGCATCCACACGCGGATACTCGGCATGTGTGGACAACCTACCTGTTACGTTACACACTGAGTCCTATTTTCTGAGTCCTTCAAACCATCCCCTTCCTCTTCCTGAACGAAATCTCAATTGACTGTTACTTTATAAAGGAGTGAGCACCCTCAGGGCACAGACAGGAATGCAGTGGAGCCTCCTCCCTTTAACTGCACTGAGAACAAACACCACAGGTAACAGCTACACACAAGCCCCACCACTATCCTCCACTAGAGCCATCTACTCTCCCGTCCTGTTTAGGTGATGTAAGAGCAGAATTTTCTTTCCAACTTCATCTGCTGCTCTTCCAAGTTCCAGAAGAAAGCGTTTAATAAAGGGATGAGACAAGGTCACCCTTCCCTTCACACTCCAGAGTAAAGTCAGTCAAGTGAGCCTGGGCTTCAGTCCTCTGTGAGCACTACCTACCTGGGAAAAACTGAGCCAAGACAAGCCCAGGACAAGTACCTCCAGCTGCTACAAAGCACCTCAGAGAAGAGGCTGCGAGGAGACTAGCTCTTCAGCAGTCCTGCTCAGGAGAGCCTGGCCAAGTGGGCAGAGCAGTCCACGTAGTCACTCCTATTCTAAGAATACTGCGTGTAAGAGGAAGATCTGCCCACTTGCAGTCCATCATTTCTAAAGGTGCTTTCTAAATGCTGCTCAGGAAGTATCTGCTTAGCACTGATGCTTCCCGCTGATAGTGGCTTATCTGGCTAGAAAAATGACTTTCAGATGGCCCCTGGTTATATGGGGGAAAAAAAAAACAGGCAGCCTCTACCCAGATGCCAGTCTACCTAGTAAAAACAATGCTTTATAGTTTTTTAAACTTAAAAAGACAACGCTTGAACTCAGAAATGTAATTTCTAACTCAACACTAACCTGGTTAATATTTAATATCTGCAGGAAAAAGTGGGGGTGGGGTAGGGTGGGGTGACGACAAAACCAATTAGGAGTTTTTTAACTACTGAATGCACATAATAAGCCATCAGCCAAATGACTGGCAAAGCAGTCTTAAAAATTCATCAGGCCTGAGTAATCTGACTTCAGTAACTTAAAACCCACCATGGGCAGTGTGCATGGAAATCCCTCTTGGCTCCTCCCAATAAGGAGAACAGTCTAAGACAGACGCCATCTCCTGCAGAGTAGTCCACTCTTCCCCACCCACCCTCCCAAAGATAAATAGGCTCCAAAAAAAAAGCGCCTAATACCTTTAAGATGAAAAATAGCTCAATATCCTCAACATGCATTAAGTTGGGGAAAGAAATTAATCTTTTCCAGTCAGTTACGTGTACATATGTATCTTCTTACAAAACCTGTAATTATAGACTGGATCTCTTGGGTGGGCAGAAGAAACCTGGCAGTGAATTTTTAACTATCTGCATTAAAAAAAAGATAAACCATAATGGCTGGGAAAAGAAAAAACAAAAATGAAAAGGTCTAGAAGGGTAAAAGCCAGTGTTCCTTTAGATGTAATTCATCTGCACGAGTCACTGCCGCCAAGCAGTTTCATTTACGAGATGGCGGAGGAGGAGGAGGGGGGGGAGGGTACTGGTAAGCAGTCTGCCCCATGTAGCCTATCATATTGGTAGCTCCTGGAGGCTGTGCAAACTGCTGTGACATCAATGGCTGTGGCTGCTGCCCAGATCGACCTATCCCGCTAAACTGTTGGCTAGAGCTCTGGGAGCTCCTCCCAGTTGAGGTGGTGCTGCTAGCCCCGTAAGTGCCAGCAGCATACTCCTGGGCCGTGTAGCCACTGGTGCCATAAGCAGCTGCCCCATAGGTGCCTTGAGCATAGGTGTATTGGCCTGCTTGTGCCCCAAAGGCAGAATTCGGGCTTCCATAGCCACTGCCATTAGCATAACTGGCTCTATCGGTTTCACTCCGATCCCTGTAGCTTGTAGAATCTCTCCGGCCACCATCCTTGACCCCTCGAAGCCTCCGGTCACACTCATCCTGATACATCAGATTGGGATTGTTGGCAGAAGAAGTAGTCCGGTATCGTGAGCGGCCTCCTGGTGGGCAGAAAATGCCAAATATGTGATCCAAACAAACTGAACATAAAAGGGCACAGAAATATTCAACACATCTCCTTCCTCTGTAATGCTAGTCTCTTAAGTTAATATTTCACTCAACTTGGTGCCTTTTAGAGTCTTCTTGAGGATAACAAAAACAAACTTAACATACCAAACTAGGCAGCCAGGAGCGTAGACTTGAGCGTACCTCACAGCCGCAGATCAACTGTATGCCTCAGTTAATACTATGCTATGAAATCAGGCAAAATTACCACATTCTCCAAAGGTTATCAAGAGGGAAAACCAGTTTAGCTATATATGTTAAATTTGAAGAGACAGAGTCAAGCTATGAAGCTCAAGCTGTCCCCAAAAGATAACATACCTAGCCTTACCTCCATGTGTTAAAAAAACAAAGGCTTGGTGCTGGAGAGACGGCTCAGTAAAGAACTGACTGCTCTTCCAGAGGTCCTGAGTTCAATTCCCAGCAACCATATGGTGGCTCACAACCATCTGTAGTGGGATCTGGTGCCCTCTTCTGGCACGCAGGTGTACATGCAGGTAGAGTACTCACGCATAAAACAAACAAACAAACAAACAAACAAATGAAACCCAGGCTTGGCTGGACAGTGGTGCCCTTGCCAGCAGTGGGGAGGCAGAGGAAGGTAGATCTACGACTTTGAGAAGAGCCTGGTCTAAACAGTGAGTTCCAGAACAGCCAAGGCTACCCAGAGAATCTCTGCCTTAAATTCTCAACTACAAAATACTAGGCTGTAACAGTAGCACAACTAAACTTGCTTTCTAACTTTAAGTGAGGTCACACAAAGCCACAAAGTTCTCTCCAGCTCCTTCCCATATCAAAACAAAGAGGAAAACTAAAAACTCACCAACAAAGAAAAACCAGCAGAGAACATGGCACAACTAGTGTTACATGGCCTTGGCAGTACCTGGAAAATTCCAGGACTTACCCTTACCCCCTCCTCCGCCGCCACCTCTGTGGTCCACAAGCTGCATCAATTTTGGATTGATGGCCTGATTGGCCTCTTCCAATACTTTGATCAGCTCTCTAGCCTGCTTCAGGTTGCCCGGGGTAAAGAAAGTATAGGCAGTGCCCTTGTTGGTGCTGCGGGCCGTTCGGCCAATACGGTGAACATAATCTTCTGAGCTGTTTGGATAATCGTAGTTGATGACAAACTTGACGTCTTCCACATCTTCCACGTCAATGAGGAGACGTTGTGTAGGTTGATGTGGCAGAGAAAGAGAAGGTAAAGACATGCCAAGAGGTGGGAAGCACGAACGCAGGTGACAGCAAGAGGGGAGAAGATGAAGTTAGTAAGCACCCTGAGTAGGTACAAAACAAGGCTCATCCCAACAGAGTAAAAGAGGAGCAGTGCCACTCCAGACACACGGCACTGCATCTTCATTTGCTATTTATTATCCTACAGGAGCTCCGTTCCAACACCCCAACTCCTGCCTTTTCTGTAACGGTATGCTGACAGGAGCTACACTAAGACCAGAATTCAGACTGTCACATTCTAGTACCGCCCCCTTCAAAGCTGGGTAAGAACTCAATCAAAACCACTATTAAAGTGCAGGGCCAATCACTTCTACTCTGTTGGGAGAAGCCTGGCACAGTCTACCAACAATACAACCAACTTACCTTCAGACCAGTCACAGAGCAACACGGGAAGGTACTTCATCTACTCACTACATCCTCAGACTCAACAGTTAGGTTCTATCTTGCTCTTGTATTTAAAAAGCAAACCAAAGCCAAAATACACACCTATTTTCCTTTGTGTAAACACCCAGATTATCTTTCCCTTTTCAATCAAAAGAACACATTACACTAAAATTTCACTCTACTGCCAAGCCCAGCTTCTCAAATGAGGTTTTTTTCCACTCAACTCAAGGTTATTCCAAACTTAGTACTTGTATCAACAATCAGATTGAGTATGTGACCTGAAAATTCAATAGCCAAAGAATGTGGGGAAGACCATGAAACCTTGAGACACACATTTAATATTCTGTACATGGCTAGGAATTGGGCTGAGTAACCCCCTAAAACTTAAAAGTATGCAAATGTTAGTGTAATGCTTTCAGCTAAATGTATTTTTCTAACCTACTTAACAAGCAAATTTAATAACAGAATCCTAGTTTTTGGTGGAAAAAAATCTGCATTTTACAAAGAATATTCCAAAAATA